TTTAGGACACTGGCTACAAGATCACAGCCCTCTGCAAAGGGCTCATGGGACACCAGGCTGCTCCCAGACCTCCCTCAGCAGAGAACAAGCAACTGTCATCACCCCCTTAAACAATGGCTGGGAAGGAATCCCAGTGGGCTCAGTCCTCCTGCAGCCCAGAAAAGGACTGTGTTCCACCACTGCTAGGGCCATCACCGAACAGCCACCAAGCCCACCCAAAGCATCTGGGTGGGCAAACAGCTCCACGTGTCAACTCTGCAAGGGGCACGGACAGACCTGGTAAGAGCAGGGGCTCCCCCAGGCCAGGCAGAGGCAGCTGTGCACCCCCAGCACAGTAAAAGGGCACCTCCAGTGCTGGGCACAGAGATGCTGAGACAGCAGCATTGGGGGTCTACAAGTTCCGGGCACAACAGAGGAACTGGAGGGGGACGCTGGCTTCACAGCACAGATCTCTATGGCAGGGGCTTCTCCAAATCCTCTGTCCCTTCCCTGCATGAAGACCCCAGCTGGCACCCAGCTGGTGTCGTGGTTTAACTACAACACTGGGCTCTCCTGAGTCACTCACCAATGTCATACTGCAGGCTGATCTGCAGCTTGGGCCACAGCATGATGAGAGCAAAGGAGGCATAGAAGTGGACATCATAGGTGTTGTACATCCGGTACTCCTGGCCTGGAAGAACAGCGAAGATGGTGAGCAACAGGAGACCTACCCCACAGATGGGAAAAGAGGGTCACTAGGTCCTCCCTCCCACATGTCCCAGCAGGGTGGGCTGTTTCCCAGCACATGTAGGGGCTCCTGTTAGAAGCAGGTTCAATTCTCTACATACAGCACCAGTGGTCTGGGGAAGACCTCATGTCATATCCTGCAACAGGTTTTCCTGGGAACAGAGCTGCTCCCAACCCACTGGGGTGTGAAAAATCAACCCTATGGCAAGTTAAAAACATCTGGTGACACTAACAGGGATGGGTTGATTTGGGACCACCCATCCTGCAAGTTACCTTCCAAATAAGCAAACCTTCCGTACTCCCGCAGGACAGGGAGGAGGTGGGAGAGGCCAGCCCCTGCCGGGCCCTGCAGGTCCTGGGCACAGCAATCTGGGGGCACCTCCATCCAGACGGTGCCCCCATCCGTCACGAAGTACAGCTCATTGAAGAGGGCTGACTTGTACCAGGAAGGCAGCTGGCTGTGGGAAATTAGGAAACTCAACCACAGTGGCCACGGGAACACAACCAACCAGCCCTAGGATGCCACCAAGAAGGTACTATTATCCACCCTACCTGTTCTCCAGGATGGGTTTCTGCCATGCTTCGATCTTCCTCTCCCACTCCTCATAGTGCATCAGGGCATAATG